CTCACGCTTATGTGGCAAGCACTTTACCAAGGGAACCGTCTCCCATCCTGTAAACCACTTTTGATAGCCAAGGGCAGAGGTAAAGGAGAAAGGGCATGTTATCAGGTGAGATTTGAAAAGGGTTGGGGAAGTTAATGAGGTGGAGAGAGCCAGTCAAGCGGTTCCAAATGGCAGGGTCTGACAGACAGGCCGGGAAGGGTGAGGAGAAGGGACAGGCCTGGGCATACAGGAGAAATGAGATCCAGCAGAGAGCGAGCATTCTCCACCCAGATGATAATCAATTCGGAATCTTATCACAGAGCAGAAGAGAGACCATTAAAGGAGAATGCTGAAGGAGTCAGGAGACCAGACGCAGGCAGATGGAGAAGTGCATGGGGACCAGCACGGAAAATTTGAGCCTATCATGAAAGAAGCAATCCCACTGAGAACAATGACATTGCTCTCAGTGACTGATTCAGCCTTGTTTGGAATAAGAGGCTCCACAGTTAAGAAGCGATAAAAAATGTTTTCTTTCATTAAGACAAAAAGTTAAAATGAATTATTATCTTTGATTGAGGCTAGACACAGAAAATTAATTTCTCAGTAAGAATTTTTAAACACTGGATCAGGGTCACAGAATCTCAGTCTCTAAAGAGACTCGGAGGTCGCTTGAATAATACTTCAAAAGATAACCAGGCACGCCTCTGTGAGACTGTCCTTGCAGGAGAGAATTAACAACAAGATTGCTGGCTGTCTGAGGTAGTGGAGTTTCAGGTCTCCCTGGAGACAGGGCCTAGATTAATGTCTGACCTTACATTTCAAGCACAATTGTTCCATGCCTGGGGCAGCTGTAGGGAACAAAGGTGAGAAAGAAGAGAACCCGAATGTGGCCATGACACTCCATCTCTACACATTGTTCAGGGCTAGTGGTCCAGGCAACAGGAAGGAAGAGAACCCGAGTGTGGCCATGACACTCCATCTCTACACATTGTTCAGAGCGAGTGGTCCAGGCAATGGGAAAGAGGGATTTTGAGACAGTAAGGGAGAAAGGAAGCAGGATACATAGCAGGGGGCAGTTGGGCATCAGCCCCAAACATCTCACTCGGATGCCCTATTGGTTGACAGAGCTGCCTGGGGTCAGTTAATGGGACAGAGTGTGAGACTGCTCATTCTACTCCAGATCATATGTGTATATGGGAAGTGAGAGGAAGTAAAAATCAAACTGAAAATGAAGTACCACTTAGGCCAGATGAAATAAAAAAAACAAAAACCAACAAACAAACACATTGGAACCTGGGTATGAAGGCAGGTTTTAAACATGAGTTTTAGGCTACAAAAAAATGTAAAGATACGCAATGGATAGCCACAATAACAAAGAGATAACTCCAAGGTGACCACAGTCATGCTTCCTGTGGCATGTCAGTAAGTATTGAATAGCTGATGTTCAACTTGGTTGAGTAAAACATGGGACTAGGAAATGGCATGAAAGTTCAGGACTTAGCGTCATACTAGTCACACAGAAGAACTGCCTGCACACAAAGCCAGAGTCTTTCAAGGGAGAATGAAAACATAACCATGATAAGAAGACAGGGACTCATCCAATTTGGAGGCACTGTGCCCCTTAACTTCAAAAGCCGCGCTCCCCCATAAGCAGCTGAGCAGGTACATGACCCAGACACCCTGTCGTCTCTATTAAGAAAATTCCTTTGTAATAGGATGCTGGGGAGCTGAGAAAAACGTTATTTTTGGGATTTGGCTCCAAGGCTAGGGATTCAGTAGGCGTGGCTCACTGCAAAGGGGGGAAGACGGAAAAGATAGCATGCCTCTTCTAGATTTCAATGTTAGGTGCCCAACGACACAGACAGCGGCTGGTCCTGGAGTGAGTCAGTGTTCCTACCACCACGCACTGGCAGGCTTTGGGGCCAGAGGTTATTTTATTTGCTGATGGGGGCAGGAAAAGGCAACTATACCCATTTATAGCAGTTGTTTGAAGACTTAATTGAAAAAAAAAGATTCAATTTCCAAATCCGAGACATGCTAAGGTCACTTGAAATATGTGCCCCACTAAGATTGTGGGGTCCTGTGCCTATGCAGGTTACTCAAAGATCTAGAAGATACATATTAATAAGTATATATTATAACACCAACGAAGGAAAATTAGTTGTTACTCAATAATATGTTGACAGAAGTACTTGATACACCTATAAAATACCACAGTCCAGCTTCTACCCACAAAAACACTAGTTCTGGAAAAATTACGGCTTCTAAAGAGAGATCTGCTAATTGGCCAACAGACAGAAAAAGAATATAAAGGTGAAGCCAAGCACTAAGAATGTGGTATCTATATGGAAACTTTTCATTTAATTATGTCCCTTCTCCTTAAGAGAATTAAGAAAACATACAGGTGCCATACTGCTTTTTGTCTGAGTGGGTTAGCCACACATAAGAAGATAGTTTTAGAGGCACATAAAGCAAGTCTCCTTGTCCCAAGAATCTAGGGAAGGCTGGAGACACATGAGGGCTAATAAAGTTCTTGAAGCATTTCCTAAGAACACCCAGAAAATTCAATGCTCTGCCTCTTTTAACCAAATACATCCAATTCTTTTTAACAGAGAGTTTCTAAATGTCTCCCATATATAGGGCACTGAGCTAAGCATCTGGAAAGAGAGGATTGGGTACAGTCCTCAATGGGAGTAAAGACATGCGCGTGTTTGGGTATTGAGTGTGAGCTATGTGGATAGAGAGAATGGGCAGGAAAGCAGCCTCATTCAAATATATGTCTACCTGTACCCCGCAATATCAAAAAAGGAGAATTTAAGGTTACAGTTCTATGCGTTTCTTTGTTTTATTATTATAGCCCAAGAAAACACCACATGGCTAGAGGTGGGTTGTGGAACTCACTGACTCATTTTGGAGCAACAGGTAGCATTGGTGAGACTTGAACTTTGACAAGACCACACATGATTGGGAAGGTAAGGAGTCATATTACTCAGGAGTCATTGTCCTTTTTTTTTTTTTTTTTTTTTTTTTTTTTTTTGCAAATATTTGAATATCCAGCCAAACACAGAGAATAGCCTCATGATAGCAAGGTGATACTTGCCATATGATGCCAATTCATGATGAATTAGAAGTTGTACATTAAGTGTCAAGCAGAGTATATACAAAGATTTTTGAGGAAATGTGAAGTAGTACCTAGAAAAAAGCAGGATCCATACACCCCCTAATTGTCTTGGTATTTAGCCAACTATCTTAGAAAACAAGCTAAATCTCTTTTCAATGCAGCAGATGAATGCTTCCATAGACTCAGAAAAAAATGGGAAATTTTTTTTAAATGTAAGAACTAAAAATTATCTGGATTCACTGCCTTCCTTGAATGTAGAACCTATAAGAGAATTTCTGATTCGCATGCCTAGAAATACTGCTTCAGTATTTTAATAGCATTTAACCTCTCAACACCAAGATAAGTAAGTGTCCACATAGGCGGAGAACTTTTAAGAATGAGAGACCTGTCTTTAAGACTCTTAGCCAAGCTTCTCACATAAAGGATAGCCTTCTAACTCTGACTTATAAACAAGAATTGTAAGTTTGTACCCACTGGAAAGAATAAAATCAAACATAATGCACAACCTTATACTCACAGCCTAATTTGAAAGTGATGGTCTGCCTGCTCCTAAGGAGCATTCTGCTATCCACACAATTTTCAGCTGCACCCAGGAAGTTAGCAGACGGTATTATTCTCTTTCCTGTTACTGATGTCTGCTCTATTTGTCAGTATTTGCTCTGTGCTCATTCTTCTGCCAAATAAAATATTAATTGCATTTTTAGCTGCCCTGCTGGTGATCAAAGAACTCTGATATGTCAGGCTAAACTGATAGAAATAGCATCCATTAACATATTTATAGGTTCAGGGCTTCTAGAACATAATTACATCCATTAATTACTTGGCGGTACTCGATTACAGGCTGAAAATGAAAGACATCTCCAGCCGCCTCTTTCTACACAGACCAAAGTTTCTTCTTCAGTAATACGTTTTCTCTAAAGATTTATCCAAGGGAAGCAAGGCAAGAGAAACTTGTCCTTCTCCATGTTTAGAAGGCCGGATCACTGAAAGGAACCATTCGCTAACTTTGAGATAGAATATCTACAAGATAAACCAGATCAAGGCTGATTTCAAAGAAAAGTGCACTTGAGGTGTTACACAGATTTCATTCATATTTGAGAGTTCTAAGAGAGACAATTTCAAGCTGATAAATCTCGATGTTAAGGTATGAAGCCATGACTTGATATTTCAAATAAACTTCAAATATCACATAGGACCAAATAATTTTGAATCTTCTACAAATTTGAACATGTACTCCTAACACACATATACACACACATGCAGAGGAGGGAGGAGGAAGAGGAGAGGGAAAGAGGGAGAGGAGAGGAGGGAGGGAGAGAGAGAGAGAGAGAGAGAGAGAGAGAGGAGAGAGAGAGAGGAGAGAGAGAGAGAGAGAGAGAGAGAGAGAGAATATTAAAACTGTCCTGGGAAAAAGCTCATGAGATTTGAGAAATTAATAAACAATTATTCTGTGGACTGAGCAGCTGTGCAGGTCCCAAAGCTGCCAGGTGCATTTTGTATGTGTGCCATAGAAAGGACAGTCAGGCTGGCTTGACTCCTCTTGACCAGTTAATCAGCATGCAAAATGATGGTTTCCCGTAATAACTTCAGCCCCAGCCCCAGACACATTGGCTTTTCAGCAAGAAATAAAGTCATTTAAAAAAAAAAAAAAAACACACTAGCTTCTCCCCCCACCCACCCACAATTTCAGCAGGAACCCAGGCAGGAAAAGACCTGCAGGAAGCCCAGACCTGGGAGTCTACCTGTACAGAGAGATCTGCACAGATTTCTCTGAGTTCTTTGTTGCCCGACAATAAACTGTAAAAAAGGCAGTCATATTTGAAAGTAGCAAAACCGTTCAGCTGTGGTTCTGGGATGCGCAAGCAGCCACACGGAGTGAATAGGAAGGAAAGCAGCCTACCTTTGGTAAGTCGCCTTAGAATCTGACAGCGGCATTTAAAGGAGACAGCTATCATTCTTGCGCCCTGCTTCTCAGGCAAAGTGTACTCGGGGCTCTGCTCTGGTGGCTGCGGCGGCGAGCAGCAGCATATGAATTCCTTGCGCACATACCAGGAGAAAGGTAGTCCCAGTAGGGAGAGACAAAGCTTAATTCCTCTTGGCTGATGCAGAGGTCCGCTACATGTCATCTGGCAAAGCTGTGTCATTCACGACTACTACCACCGCTGCCCGTCACAGCCTCCTCCCCCTTGCTCCATCACAATGGCTTAGAAAGTAAAGCTGTGTTTCGATAGCAACAAAGCACCAGATAGGAGAAGAGCGGGGACCAGGCTGGGAGAGGAGCCATTCCATAAATCTAACACTAAGCACTGTGCAATGCATTCTGTTTCGGGGCTAAGGCTGTGCATTCCAGACAGTGCAGGTGCCCCCAACCCCTTGCTTCTCAGCAGCCAGTCAGTATCCCTTAGCCGTCTCATGTAATGGGAAAGGCGAGAGATGCTTGCATTCTTACTTTATGAAGAAATGTGTGTGTGTGTGTGTGTGTGTGTGTGTGTGTGTGTATGTGTGTGTGTGTGTGTTATACTATATTCTTCCAGCTGTGGTACATAAGGGAGGCAAAGGAGCAGGGCAGCTTATGAGAGAGATTCAGGAGAGCATCATAGTTTTGCCTATAGCTGAGAGGCAGACCTTTGATGTGCCTGGAAAGGTCTATGTGGCACTTTTCAAAGCTCTGAGCGTCAAGGCAGTGCTGGTTTATGGATATGGAATGCAAGAAAGGCTGAGGGAAGGAGTTGTTCAAGCCGATGGTGTCCCAAGCCCTTTCATCCCTCTTCCCCAAAAAATGCCTTGGCTGGAGAGCAACAGAGTGAAGGCTGTTTGTAAAGATACCAGGAATAAAAGCAAACAGGGCCAACCATTCCCATTTTTAATGTACCTTATTATCCTGTTTCCCAAACAGCCCACCCCCCCCCGCCCCCCCACCCCCCTCCACCCCCCCACACCCCTCACCCCCGCCAGCCACTCTTTTCAATATGCAAATCAAACCGCCTTGCAATGCAGCAGATATGGGTGAAGATCTGCTCCAGTGGAGGGGAATGACAAGCCCTTCACAGCCCATTCACAAAGTGACAAGAGGTGGAGCCCATTTCCTCATCTGCCAGCACCAGCCCACTCACGACTCCATCGCCACAAACCGACATCTGCTGAGGAATTTCCATCAAAACCCAGACATCTCTCCCAGGAGTTAACGCGGACATGAGGGAGAATCAGACTGCCGGTCAGAAACTTTGACAACAGAAGTCCGCCAACCACTCCGAAGAAAAGACATCGGTGTTTAAACTGTTTCATTAATATTACCGGGATATGAACTGCCCATCTAATCTTATTCTCAACTCTTCCAGTCCTACCTCCGCAACCCCCAAATAAATCTTTGAAGGGCCAGTGAGATGGCTTGGTGAGTAAGGGTGCTTCCTGCATGGGCCTGGCAACCTGGGCTGCATCCGAAGGGTCTACATGGTGAAAAGAAAAAAAAAAAAACCCTACCCCTGAGGCCTGTTTTCTGACCCACACACTCACGTGCATGCACGCACACATTTTAAAAATGTTAGTCTTTAGAGCTAGATTCTAAAATAGCTTCTACTATTTCAAGCCCAGCGATTGCGTCTTCTCTTCATTCATAAATTCCACATCATCCTAAGCAATTTCCCTTCATCAATAGGGAATGCCAATACTTGCCCTTTGGAGCCCAACAGAAAAAAACAACCTATGTATGAGAAACAGCTGACCGTTATGAGCATCTACATGAAAGGATTTGAAAGGGACAGAATTCCCTTATCAAAGATGATCTACCTAAAGCCACCAGCCATCATTAGCCAACAGGAATGACAGTATTAAATGGATTGTGGGCCTCCTGCATTTTAAATAGCTCAAATACCATAATTTTTAAAAGAATGATACCCTCGGTCATTTTTGTTCCTTTTAGGCCATCTCCAGAAATATTTTAGTTGCCTGGTATTTTTTTTTGTTCTGAATAGGAATAAACCTAGCTGCCAGAGGCTCGGATTATTAGTTAATGTGAGGTGAATATTTATAGCTAGCTCCTTTCAAGATCCTTCCCCGAATCTAACACCTTTCCTAAAACCCAGGCCCTCCGAATACGCAGCTGTCAAACAGCATTAACATAATCTTACTTGGGAAATGTTACTACTCTGGTTCCTTTTATTAATGTCTATTCAGATAAATCTCAAAATCTTTCAGGAACCTCTTGCCCTTCTGCTACCACACAGCTTCAAATTAAATTTGCTTCTTCTTTAAGGCTAAGATGGTCCAATATTTCCCACTTTTATTAGCACCTTCAGCACTCCCCCCTCCCCCCCATTCTTTGGTCCCAAGAAAGATCTTCAGGTCAATTAAAACATCCCATTTTTTTTTTTTTTCTGGCAGGAGAAATAGTTCATCCTGGAGCATCTGGAAGGCTCCTGAGGGTCTGCCCCAGGGGCTACCTTTTCTCTTTGGATTTTGTGAAGCTAATCCTAGGGGCCAGCTCAGGTTCTACACCAGACATGAGCCCTTGAGAAAGCCCTTTCCTGGGCAAGAGGCAATCTCCTGTGTGGTCCTACCTCTTTCTTATTCCGGGCCCTCCAGTAGCCAGAAGTTTCCCTGGCAACAGTTCCTAGGTCAGTCCATCTACCTCAGTTAGACACTCTGTCCTTTCTGCCTGATACAAACTGAGCCTTGGATCTGGAACTCCAGCATCAGCAGAACCTCCCCGAGATGCACTTTCTCTATCTTACAGCTTACTGACCTGTGGGCCAAAGGTCTCGAGTGCCCAAGGAATTCTGGCGGAACTCATCCACAGCCTCCTCTCAGGAGCCCTCTGGACAGAGTGGCACACATTTCTTGCATACAAGTTTAATATAACCATGCATCTTTGGGCCACATAAGCACTCCCTGTCACCTAGAAGTGGCTCAACCTCACAGGGAGCTTGGATTTCACACCATGCTCCCCAAAGGGCACCAAGTAGGGCCTAAAAAATGATAAGGCATCAAAATGTGATCAAATGTTATATCTGATGAAGCTGTAGAATAATCTGGAGAGGAGTTTAAGTGTCAGTTCAGGAGTATCGGCTTCTTTTAAGACAATAGCAAACAAAGCAAATGAACAAATAAAACCCTCAAGCCTCAATATATAAAAACACGGGCTTGCTGGATTTGGAGCAGATCAATCCCTGGGAATGATAACTTGTTTCAGGGCTTCTATAAATGTTAGCTTCCTGAAGGCATAACGCAAGGATATTACATTTACACAGAATTTAACGTATCAATGGGATGGCTCCGTTCAGATTTTTGTTTCAGGTACAGACTGGTTCTCAGGCAGATGACTCAGCTGGTGTACATTTAAGAGCAAGAAGAAACAAAACTCCTCACCCCTGCCTGCGTACGTAGCTCCACACAGATGGAACCTGGAGTTGGCATAGAACAGGCAGTCTTTTCTCAGGCTCCATCACCAGCCCTGGGTAGTCTTTCTATTTATAGCTTTCTTGCAATTTCCCCTCCTCTGAGAGAAATGTGATGACCCTTGAAGTATGGCCATACATTACAGCCGGCAGGGGGTGCCAAGAGACTGTCTCTCTCAGCCCTTCTGGTGCCCAACCCTGCCCATGCCCAAGTCATCTGCAGCAAGGCTAATTAATGTATGTTTGGAAACACTGTGACTGCAGCCACAACCAGGTGGTTGTTAAGGTAGACACTTTGGTGGGAGATCATTGTGAGCCAAGGGTTTACCACTACTGTCCCTTCAGATCGGCTGATATCTTTGGTCATGATTTTTTTTTTTTTTTGGTTTTTTGAGACAGGGTTTCTCTGTGTAGTTTTGGAGCCTGTCCTGGATCTTGCTCTGTAGACCAGGCTGGCCTTGAACTCACAGAGCTCTGGCTCTGCCTCCTGAGTGCTGGGATTAAAGGCGTATGCCACGACTGACCTGCTGGTCACAATATTTTAATAGCATTGATTTCATAAGATGAGGTAGGGAGGGATAGATAAAAATCAAAACAAAGCAAGATCTTCAAGCTTGCTCAAGGGCTCTCATGTTATTAAAGTGACCATAACACATCAGGATGTGAACACAGAGACTGTATTTGTCTTGTTCGATTAATTTTTCACATGTTTATTTTTCTGTGTCAAAATAATTGTGTTCATGGAGTGTTTTGATAATCAACAAGGAAAGGTCTTTGCAAACCTCAAGTTCCTTTCCATATACATACACCTGGGAAATTAATAATTAAATAAAAAATGGGATCAGCTATAAATACCTCATTCTTTGATATCATTAGAATCAAGGTAATTGAAAAACTACAATTTGATTGCAATATTCTCTCCTTTGAGTGATTTCATAAATCTGTTAGGAAACACAATTGGTAGACCTCACTTGTTAACTTATTATTTTAACAATTGTCTTTTGTATTCCTTGAAGGCAATTGCCTCAAAATGCCCAAAACATTTAGGTTATTTTTTAAACGGCATAGGACATTCTCAATTGGCTCATATTGAGTACACTGATTTTTTTCCCCTCACAGCTAATAATGGTTGGCCCACAATGATGCCCTTTAGGAAGTATTATTCAGACAGGTTATGTTTTAAAATAAAAGCTCCAATAGCCAGTCTTTGTGGTATTTGCTTACCTAGTCCAAACACATATGCCCTTCACTGTACCAAAGGAAGAATGCTGACCACGCTTAACATGAGGAGGTCCAGAAGCCCAGAGTTAGAACTACAAAATCTTGTCTGCTAAAAGCCTGTGGAGGGACATGTTCAGCAATGGGACATGCGCCAATTAGGGAAGACAATAGACAAGGAGATATGCTGGAAGTCGACCATGCCTTTGATTGTCCAGGTTCAGTGTCACTACTTATGGAGGCACCCTGTAAAGAAGAGAAGGGGAGTAGCCAGAAGGTGCTGGTTGGCCGTATGCCCTTGGGGAGTTACTTCTTACTGCTGTGTGTTTGGAAGGGATCATGTGAAGGGCTATTCCAATGACCGACTTCACTTATGTCCTAAGGTCCAGAGAACAGTCCCAGGCTTTATAACCAGCACACATTCTGTAGAAATATAATGACCCAGCCCAGCATTTGGTCACAGAACATTCATTCTTCCCGATGGCTCTGTGTGATGAGATGGATTATTTCATCAGAAAACCACAGGGAAGTGGGAGTGAGAGCTAACAAGCCTGACCCCTTCCTTCTCTTCTGCCTCCGGCCCTTTAATGGTAGAATTCTCTCAAGTTGTGTCCTGACATTGTAGGGAATTAACGTTGTTTTAGTTCTTCAACAATTCATCTATTCCCAGGTTCTGGGAATGACTCTTCTATTTTTACTTTCAAATATTGCTTATCAGCCCAAATTTGCTTTCCTGTTCTAAACCCATCTTCCTG